CTTTCATCTTCAATTAAAAGTTTCTTATCTCCCTGCTGCCACAATTTGAGGTTTATCGGGGATCCGTTTTGACTTGGAAAATCCTTCTGGGAGTATAGGTTCAACCACAATTTTCTGCCTTAAACCAGAGCACCCCACCCCACCCCCGTTTGGAAATAGTATGTAGAAGACTGTCTCTCTCTCCTTCAAAATAAATTGACTCTACTTCTCCCCACATCCTATAAATTAAGTGCTACCAGTGTGACACATTTTGATACTATGTCTGGTGTGTTACGTTCAAGGTCTCTTTGGTTCCGGAAATCCAACAAGATCTTGACTTACTCATTTTCCTCCAGATCTTGACTTCCTCAGTTTTAACCAAAAACGTAAGTATCTGTTAAATATCAGCGAAGTATGTATGCTGTTCCTAATATTGCCATTTTTTGTACCTCTGATAGTGACGTGATTTCTGAGATCTGCAACTGCTTATGGTACTGTGTGAAATTTCTTGATATTATTCCCAAAGCCCCAATGACTATGGGGACCACTGTAGTGTGTTTCTTCCAGAGGTGAGATGTTTTGATGGTCAGGTCTCTGTACTTTGTTAGTTTTTCCAATTCTTTATTTTCAACTCTGGCATCCCCTGGATTGCAATGTCAATTATTTCTTTGTTCTATCACTACTATGTCTGGTCTATCAGTTTAGATCTGGAAATCCCACAAGATCTTCCTTGCATTTTCTGACACCTTCTCTACATGATGTTCCCATGGGTTTCTGGAGGCCAGCAAGTTATATATTTTGTATAAAGACCAGTGCACTAACTGTGCCACTCTATCATGTCTAACTTTGTACAGAGGTGCCCCGCAAAGTGACATTAATCCGTTCTGGATTAATCGTCGCTATGAGGAAACATCGCTAAACAGAATGGAAAAAGCCATAGGAACACATTAAACTTCGTTTAATGCGTTCCTATGGGGCCCAAACTCACCGTTCAGCGAAGTTCCTCAATAATTTCTATGCATTTCCAAAGGTTACTTTTAAAGCGCGTTTTAAGACACTTTTAGAGGATTTATCACCAGAGACCTCTGGGTAGAGTGGGCGGCATATAAATTCAATAAATAAATAAATAAATAATTTTGTCAAGTTTCACGTTATCTGCCTTATCAATCCTGAGTGGCAGGGGAAGTAATGGGTTTTTCTCCTCATGTATTTTTTCCCACCAAGGTGCAATGTCACAACTGGCAACTAAAGGGAAATGCGTAACCTTTCATCTTCAATTAAAAGTTTCTTATCTCCCTGCTGCCACAATTTGAGGTTTATCGGGGATCCGTTTTGACTTGGAAAATCCTTCTGGGAGTATAGGTTCAACCACAATTTTCTGCCTTAAACCAGAGCACCCCACCCCACCCCCGTTTGGAAATAGTATGTAGAAGACTGTCTCTCTCTCCTTCAAAATAAATTGACTCTACTTCTCCCCACATCCTATAAATTAAGTGCTACCAGTGTGACACATTTTGATACTATGTCTGGTGTGTTACGTTCAAGGTCTCTTTGGTTCCGGAAATCCAACAAGATCTTGACTTACTCATTTTCCTCCAGATCTTGACTTCCTCAGTTTTAACCAAAAACGTAAGTATCTGTTAAATATCAGCGAAGTATGTATGCTGTTCCTAATATTGCCATTTTTTGTACCTCTGATAGTGACGTGATTTCTGAGATCTGCAACTGCTTATGGTACTGTGTGAAATTTCTTGATATTATTCCCAAAGCCCCAATGACTATGGGGACCACTGTAGTGTGTTTCTTCCAGAGGTGAGATGTTTTGATGGTCAGGTCTCTGTACTTTGTTAGTTTTTCCAATTCTTTATTTTCAACTCTGGCATCCCCTGGATT